TCGTACTCCTGAAGGACATCGAGCCACCGAGAAAGCAGCCCGGACGGTTGGTCAACCCGCAGAGCGTACTGTAAAGCCGAATGATCAAATCGCATGGTAAAATGCTGACCATACAGGTACGGCCTGTATTGTTGAATAAAAAAAACAATGGCCAGCAGCTCACGTCTGGTCACACAGTATCTTTGTTCAGCAAGAGACAAGACTCTGCTACCATAGGCAACAACCCTTTCAATGCCATCAACTTTTTGGGACAGAACACCCCCAATCCCCGTATTGCTAGTGTCGGTGTCCAACACGAATGGCACGGAAAAATCGGGGTATGCAAGGGACGGTGCCGCCACGAGCGCGTTCCGCAAGGAGTCGAACGCGGCCTGTTCTGCGTCCCCCCAATGAAACGCCACCCCTTTTGACGTAAGGGCGTGGAGCGGCTTGGCAATTGTCGCGAAGCCAGCAACAAACCGGCGGTAGTACGACGCAAAACCAATAAAACTATGAACATTGCCCGCAGATGTAGGGGTCGGCCAATGTCGAACACATTTGTTTTTTTCAGGGTCGGTAGAGATGCCCAAGCGGCTAACTATGTGGCCCAGGTAGCGCACAGACTCACGCAGAAGATGACACTTCTGCGGCTTGGATTTCAAGTTAGCGGCCCGCATTTTCAAGAAGACAGCACGCAACCGTTCGATGTGTTCGCCGAACGTGCGGCTAAAGACGATGACGTCAAGATAAATGAGACATGAGTCCCACTGGAGCCCAGCGAGGACCAGCTCCATGAGCCTCTGGAACGTCCTGGGGCCGAGACGAGACCCATGGGCAATCTATTAAACTCGAAAAGCCCCTGTGGTGTCCGAAAAGCAGTCTTAGGTTTTGACGCTTCGTCGAGGGGGAGTTGCCAAAACCCCGACAGAAGGTCCAAGGTGGAGAAATAGTGCGCCCCTGCCAAGGCATCCAATGACTCGTCCATACGAGGGAGAGGGTAGGCGTCCGCTACCGAGATTTTATTTAGGCGCCGAAAATCAACGCAAAAACGGAGACTGCCATCATGCTTTTTGACCAGCACTATTGGAGCACCCCAGGGACTAGTGGAGGGAGAAATTATATCGGCCTCCAGCATGTCATCCACAGCCGATTTAACATGCTGTTTCTCCGCCGGGCTAAGCCGAAACGGGTTTTGTCGAATCGGGGCAGCATCACCAGTATCAATGTGGTGACGCAGCAGCTTGGTACAGCCAATATCAAATTTAGATTTATTGAAGACATCGGGCATTCTCGCAGAAGAGCGCGCAATTTAATTCGCTGCGAATGAGACAGATTACCCGTGTCTGTGCAAAGCGCGTCCAACCATCTCTCATCCGATTCGGAAGGAGGTGGGACCTGCGGCGTGTCATGCACGTGTCCCACGACTCCGGTCCCCAATGGCACCGGGGTCGCGTGAGCGAGCACAGTTCCTTGCGGAATGACGTTTGTGGACAATCCGACATTCAAAACCTGCAAGAACGGCTCCCTGTCGGCTGCTACGAGGGTCTGTGCAGCCACCAAATCTAACCCCTTAGCAGCTGCGTTTGAAGGCCCCAGCAAAATGCCATGTGCCGAGGCCTCCGGGGCTAGCGGTTTTTTAAGTTGCAAGGGCACGAGCATTTGTGTCCCTGGCGGAATGCGGACTGTGCTCGCAACAAACGCCTGCACCGAGGCACTAGCCATGCGCGGATGTGAGGGTGTGGACAAGAACGCCATCCGCCGACCCGACGGGAGTTCGATGCAGCCTTGATCTACAAGAATCTTAATAGGCATTTTCGCGAGAAAATCAGTGCCTAACAAACACGGCAAGGGAAGAAGAGACCAAAATAGGCCCTGCCAATTTAATGTCTCCAATCGAAATTTGCGCCCGAATTTGCCCGATAATGCCCAGCGAACTGCCATTAGCGGCGAAACACGGGATAGAAACCCGTTTCAAGGGGCGGCATCGTACGGGCAGTATATTGTAAATCAAATCCGAAATGATCATAGCTGACGCGCCAGTATCGACTAACACGTGAAATTCCACACCCTCGATTGATCCGACAACCACGGACCAACCTGCCGTCGCCGCGACTACCCTATGGGCCAACTCAGACCACTGCCCAGGTCCGAGTGGCCGCGAACAAACACCAGAATACCCCCCATCACACGCCGAATCGCGAGCCCTTTTTATTGTGCGTTGCGGTGTGTATGGTGTGAATGCGGGCCGAGCGTGTGAGGCGTCGCGACTTGCCTGGTTTTGCCGCGATGCCGTGGACGTCCTGTAGTTCTGGCCCCGGGATGCGGAGTGGCGTTGTCGAGGTGCACGGCAGTCAGAGAAGATGTGGCCTCGTCGGCCACAGTTGAAGCACGTCACGTCGCCGCGTGGAGAAGGCCGTCCCCGCTGCTGGTCGTTGCGACGACCAGCGTGGTCGGACGATCGCACAGCCCGTTGACCTGGTCGCCATGAAGGCCCGGTCGGGGGAGAACTCGGCGTCCCTGCTGGCAGGCTCCGACGTCGAAGCCGAGGCGGCGATGGTCGATTCCGTGTGGAGCAGCAGATGTGCGTGGATGCACCGAGCGGCTCGTAGCGAGCACATACTGTCGTCATCCACCGCTTGGATGACGATGCGCAGCTCGCGCGCCAGCTCCAGCATCTTCTGGAGAATGATGGCGTCGATGGCCTCGTCGTCCATGCGAGGGTAACCCGCTCTTGCCATCGCCAGTAGAGCGGTCCGGAATGCCAACGGAGACTCTTTAGGGCGGCGTCGCCTGTCGTAAAATCGGCTGTGGACGTCGGATGGAGGCCCGTAGACGTCGGACATCCGTCGGAGGGCCGATTGAAGAGTCGCCCTTTTGTGCCTGGGGATGGTGAGGAGCGAGGCGAGAGCGTCGTCGTCCAGAGTGGCCGGTAGCGCTCGGAGCGCCTGTGCGTCCGACCAGCCCACCATCTCTTGGTGGCTCAGGAAGCGACGCTGGAACACCGCCCAGTCGCCCCCTTCAGATGTGAATTCCCGGAAGATGGGCAGGCGTTGTTGGAGGGCGGACGTCATCTCCCCCTCAGCTTGCACCGTCTCGAGCCGGAGATCGGCGATTTCCCGGCCGATAGAGTCTACTGTACCGTGTCGGTACAGTGATGACGCGGCGTCCGCTGAGGAACTTGAATTCGCAGCGTCGCGTGCTGATGACGTTGCGGGTTTTCATTGGCCCCCCGCGTTCCCAGGATGCCCCTGGCTTCCGCTTCCGGCGGGATCACGTGGTTCTCCGGCGGGAAAATCAAAATGTCCGCCCCGGCCGATAGCGGGAACGTCTGCCGGCGGTTGACTCGGCCTGCCCGCGACCTCCAAGTTGATCTCCTCGAGAATGGAGGCCGCGGCATGTAGGAGTTGAGCGAGACGGCCGTGTGCTGCCCTGAGTCCGTCCCCCATGGCAGGGGGAGCGACCGGCTGCTCAACCGGTGGCTGGGCGGCCGTCAACGCGGCAGCATTTTCAGTGGAGCTGGCGGTGCTTGCAGGTGAGACAGCGTTATCTTCGTTCTGGCTCCGCGCGTGGGCTGAACTTCTGGTTTCCATTTCCAACCACTCCTGACACCAGTTGTAGTGTTGTAAGGACGAGCAGACTTCTTAAGGAGGCACACTCTGTTTATTGTATTATTTCCTTATACAATGCTTAACACACACAGAGGGATATTCGGTCCCCTCACCCGATACCCTAGGGAGGTACAGCCTCCGGACTTGGCGGGACTCACACGTCTACTGCTAACCTCCTTGATACCTAAGGAGGTACAGCCTCCGGACTTGGCGGGACTCACACGTCTACCGCTAACCTCCTTGATACCTAAGGAGGTACAACCTCCGGACTTGGCGGGACTCACACGTCTACCGCTATCCTAGTCCTCCGGCTAGGACCTAGGGGAGGCTATCTGACCCACCGCTGGCCCGGTGGGTCCTGACCACTGGGTATGCCGAGCCTTAGCCCTTAGAAGGGCTGGGAGGCTGGTCCAGGGTCCTAGCTAGGCTTCAGCCTAGTCTTCTGTCTTCGTGCAGGGAGAGAACTCCCTGAGGTCCGTTGGGTCACCCGTCTTATACTCCTTCGTGGCCAGGTAAAACCAATCATACATTCCCACGTAGAACCGTCTGATTGGTTCGTACTAAACCCTGGCTACGATCCGTTTTACCTCGACTGACCCCAACCGTTGTACCCAGGGGTAATGCTGCACTGCCCTGGTGGAAATGCAGGTTACGCAACAGCGCGTAGTTAACACCTCTACACATATTTAAGTTTAAGTCGTAGTTTCGCGGTAATTTTTTGAAGGTGGAGGGGTTACCAGCCCCTCTACCCATCCAGAGCCCCCGTTTAGCCCCTGTGGTGGTCACAGACGCCATGAGGGGATGAACCAATCGGAATTAGCCCTCCCCCCACAGCACTGTCCACGACAGAGTTGCCCGTCCGGCACCGCGAGGAGGTAGGGGGTTGAACACCATCACCATCATCACACCACTCACTTGGAACATCACCATCACAACACTCACTTGAACATCATCACCATCACACACCACTCACTTGAACACCATCACCACCATCACACACCACTCACTTGAACACCATCACCACCGTCACACACCACTCACTTGAACATCATCACCACCATCACCACCATCACACACCACTCACTTGAACACCATCACCACCATCACACACCATTCACTTGAACCACCATCACACACCACTCACTTGAACCATCACCATCACCACCATCACAACACTCACTTGAACACCATCACACACCACTCACTTGAACATCACCACCATCACCACCATCACACACCACTCACTTGAACACCATCACCATCACACACCACTCACTTGAACATCACCACCATCACCACCATCACACACCACTCACTTGAACACCATCACCATCACACACCACTCACTTGAACATCACCACCATCACCACCATCACACACCACTTACTTGAACCACCACCGCTGCACCTGCAGAGTTTGCGTGCGGCCGATGCCGATGAGATGTCACCTCCGTACGACTCGCTGGCCGTCTTCGCGTACGAGGGCTCCGGCTCCGAGGCCGGCTCACTGAGCTCACTGAGCTCACTGAGCTCCTCACTGAGCTCCTCACTGAGCGGCTCCTCACCGTGGGACGCCGACCACAGCCACGGGGTCCTGGACACGTGGGGGCCGAACTTCTTCCACAATCTGTCGGACTTCCACAAGCTGGCGGACTTGTACGCTGGCGACTCAGACTGAGAACATCCACTACTACCACTATCACCACTACTACTACACTCACTACTACCACTGCAACTACCACTACTACCACTACAACTACACTCACCACTACTACTACCACTACCACCACTATCACCACTACTACCACTATCACCACTACCACTACTATTACACTCACCACTACTACTACCACCACTACTACCACTACAACTACACTCACCACTACTACTACCACCACTACTACCACTACTACCACTACACTCACCACTACTACTACCACTACCACCACTACTACTACCATCACTATCACCACTACCACCACTACCACCACACCTACCACTACCACCACACCCACCACTACCACCACACCCACCACTACCACCACACCCACCACTACAACCACTACTACCACTACCACCACTACTACCACTATTACCACCACACCCACCACTACCACCACTACTACCACTATCACAACTACTACCACTACTACTACCACTACTACCACTACCATCACTATTACCACTACTACCACCACTACCACCACTATCACCACTACCACCACTACCACCACACCCACCACTACCACCACTATCACCACACCCACCACTACCACCACACCCACCTCACGTCCTGCTGCTGATGTTGATGTTTCAGTTCTGTTTTTAATCCGCCCTTGAGGACAATAGCGTCGTTTGATTATCAAGGGCGTAGTTTAATTATTATAAATTAAGAACCTTAGCTTGATTGATCACTTGCGCTGGTGAGGAATGACACCACCGTGACACTCGTCACGGAACAACAACACATCGTACGGTCCACATGATGTACCGCACAAGCAGCAGAGCAATCCCGTACCGTAATGCCGTACCACCGTGCTCTCACCCTTGCGGGGTAGGCAGAGACTGCTAGTCACGGTGGCTAGGAGATGAACCCACGACCTCCTGGTACGCAGGAGGTTGTGGGTTCACTCCAGACCCTGACACGGCCTCCTGCTGCTGCTCCTGTATATTTGGAGTTTGCGCGTCTCCCCATGGCAGTGCGAGTTTTCTCATGTGCTCCGGTGTTTTCCCCCGCTCCGCATTTAGAAACAACGTCTCTACGGCATGTTTATTTTTCGTGAGCATTTAGCTGCTGCTGTAAGTGTTCCACGCGTTGAGTTATCACTTCTCTATTTTTGTTATATACATGTGTACCCGGTAAAATAAAAAAAATAAACGTTTCTCAGTATCGCGGTCACAGCGCGCGCCCCTTGTACCACGATGTTCGCGAACGTCACCTCGACTCTAAACGCCGCTTTTTTTTTCGCGCCCGTTTAAGAAGGGGGGGGTCAGGTCGTCGCGTCGAGTTTAAAATGTTTCATCTTCTTTGCTTTCGGTAAAGTCACGTAGAATGAGAATAAAATAATAAATTGATAAAATAAAATAACACAATAATATTCTCACGACGTTTCGGCCACAACACAAGTGGCCTTCATCGGGTGAAGGGACGAGACTGTCTGGAGGGCGCTCATTCTCCGTGACTTTACCGAATGAACCAAAGAAGATGAATCCTTGCAGTCACGAAAGCTTTAAATCGAAATTTAAAATGTTTGTTCACGCACCGCCCCCCCCGGTCCTTCACTCGAGGCTGAAGGCGACCTAAGGGATCGATTTTCCGGAGCTCAGCCACGTGCAGCTCCGACCTCATCGAAACCGGTGATGTCAACAACGCCGAAAGTTGCGAAGGGCCGAGTTGACACTCGCGACGGGGTTTCACGAACTCGCGACCTTTCCCAATGTATTTCCTTACGTCGAACAAGCAAAAAAAGGGCACGGAATTACTCGCAGATTTTAAGCGCTTTAATTTCGAGCGTACACTTGACGTCGCCCTTACGAGACGGCACTCGATGAACCGATATTACAACAACGAACAGAACAAAATTAACATTTACTTTACAATCGCTACGTATATAATACCACGAAAGTCCACACCCGCCAGTGATGTAATACTGCTCCTGTTCTGTCAAGCGTGTTTATTAAACAGTTTATGGCCAGTTCATTGCTACTGACGTGAACCATGTGTTGCCTATTCCGAATGACCCAGCTTGTTGTTTCACCACTTGACTGGCGTAGCCTTCAAACGTCGACCTACACAGAGTTCGCTCTTCATTGCAAGGCCCGCAGGCCACTAGCGGCCACTGATGGGCCTTTAGCGCGGCCCTCTGACGTGCGCCCCACCCCCGACAATACACAAATGTGAAAACACCCTCCCCATCATCATCATGATGCTGTCAACCCCAGCTGTGGTTTCAAATGTGTGGCCGCCCAACTCAAACTTATCGGCGAAAGTGTCCCCCCCTCCTCTCTGAAAATTGGTGAAAGACACTTTTATTATTCTTGGTTCTTTCGGTAAAGTCACCACCATGTAGAAGGGAAACAATAAAATAATAAAAATATAAAACAATAAAATTCTCACGACGTTTCGACTGCAACACAAAGCAATCATTGTCAGGTGTGAAACCCACAGCAAGAAAATTTGAAAAAAGTGGCGGTTTTTCCTTAACGTCAGCACCACGGAGAGCGATTTGGCGGTTGTTCAGATGGATGAGTCATCAGTCATGTTTCCGCACAACGGAGAGCGATTTGGCAGTTATTCAGACGAGTCCATCCAAACAAACTGCCAAATCGCTCTCCGTGGTGCTAACGTAAAAAAACGCCACTTTTTTCAAATTTTCTTGCTGTGGTTTTCACACCTGACGATGATTGCTTGTGTTGCGGTCAAAACGCCGTGATAATTTTATTGTTTTATATTTTTATTATTTTATTGTTTCCCTTCTACGTGGTGACTTTACCGAAAGAACCAAGAATATGAATCCCTGCAGTCACGAAAGCTTTAAATCAAAACAAAAACACTTACTTAAAACTGAACACCCAAAATATTTTAACCACGGTGGCTAAAAGTCTCCACCCTGGCCACCATTTCACCAAGAACATTGAACGCAAAACATAGCGTTAAAACAACGTTAAAACAACGTTAAAACAACGTCAAAACAACGTTAAAACAACGTTAAAACAACGTTAAAACAACGTCGCTCAAAAAAACACTTATTATTTATTAATCCTCAGGTTCAAAAGCGTAGACATCTGGATCCTCAAACCAGTCAAAGATGTTGCCCCACTCTATTGCAGGACGCTTGCTGGGAGGTAACGCAGAGATCATCCTCCCTCGTTTGACCTTTCTTGTCGACGCAGCTTTTCTTGAGATCTCGCTCGCCTGCCACAAATGAACACATCGAAGACGCCACAACAATACCGGCATCGTCAACAGTCACAAAGATGCGGGATGCAAACGCAGAGGCGCTCACAAAGAAGTACGGCGAGATGCTCCCTTGGGATTACACTGAGAGATGGTGAAAGGAACAACGTTTTCGTCGTCCATCCGCCCGCACCTTCGATTAGCACGGTTGGCTACGCACATACACAAGCACGCACGCACGTACACACACACGCACAGACAACACGAGGGACAGATAATGTACACAGGGTTCGTGGCTACGCACGGTGGTGCGAAAGTAGTTCAACACGTACACACGCACGCACGTACAACACGAGGGACAGATAATGCACACAGGGTTCGTGGCTACGCACGGTGGTGCCAAAGAAGTTCAACACGTACACACACACGCACGTACGTACGTATGTACAGACAACACGAGGGTCAGATAATGTACACAGGGTTCGTGGCTACGCACGGTGGTGCCAAAGAAGTTCAACACACGTACTGCACGGACAACACGAGGGTCAGATAATACACACGGGTGTTTCGTGACGTCGTTCAAACTGTCGAGAGAAGCCACCTTGGGCAGGAGAGGGACGATGGGGACGATGGTCAAGGAAAAAACGGACCGGAGTGGCATCCAACGGAAGATACTCGACCGAGGCGGCGCCAACCGAGGAGATGGAGCGATGAATTGTGCCCCGCGTGCACAGGCGCTAAGTCTGGATCATTATAGATCTGCAGGATCGCGAGAGATGTGGCGATTGCGCGGGGAGGCCTCCGTCCGGAAAGTGGAATGATTACGGCTGATGGGAGTCTCCATGCCACAAAAACAAGAATGTAGAAGCGTGAAAACGAGGGCACCAAACATGTGACATGAACACAATATTATTGTAAACATTAAACAGCATTTACATAAAAGGTGGGGGGGGGGGGGAGCACTCAAAAGCTCCACACTGATAGATTCAAGAATCCATGGCTATGCTGCCATCTCCTGACCACCTCGTAGGCCAAGCCTGGTAGTCCCCGGCAGTCTCCCATGCAAGTATTGCACCGGCTAAACCCTGCTTAGTGTCTGTGATCTGACAAGGGTGGGCCCATTTAAATATCGGTCAAAATTGTTGGCTTGAATGGGTGGGTGACCAATCGGGTGACTGGCATTGACGCTGCTATACGCGGACTGGGAATGAGAGCGACCGCCTAGAAGCAATGCAATGAGATAAGTGGACAATAGAAGTGACGGCGCAGAGCTGCAATTGCTGACTCATGCCACACTGCAGGCAGAAGGAGTTCTACAGAGGGTGACCGCTGTCCACGACGTCTTGGAAGGAGTTCTACAGAGGGTGAGCGGCGCTGTCCATGACGTCTTGGAAGGAGTTCTACAGAGAGTGACCACTGTCCACGACGTCGTGGAAGGAGTTCTACAGAGGGTGAGCGCTGTCCACGACGTCTTGGAAGGAGTTCTACAGAGGGTGACCGCTGTCAACAACGTCTTGGAAGGAGTTCTACAGAGGGTGACCGCTGTCAACAACGTCTTGGAAGGAGTTCTACAGAGGGTGACCACTGTCCACGACGTCTTGGAAGGAGTTCTACAGAGGGTGAGCGGCGCTGTCCACGACGTCTTGGAAGATGGTGGGAGTAACCGCAACTTGACCCCACCACACACAACCAGCCGATCGATTAAATGGCACACCCATTTATCCAGAATGAGAAGATGTATTTATATTGGAGGAATCCGATGAGCTATGAAGCTGTTTTTC